ACTCATGTTGGACGTGAATAAAATTTTGTAGGAGATGAGAATTTTTGGTTTAGTGTACTTTTGCAAGAGTTGCAGTGAGTGCTTGAATAATGTTTAAGGTATTTATAAAGTTTTAAAAAGAAAGGCAATCAATATAAATAATGTTGATTGGTTGAATATTGGAAATAAAGTTCTAAATAATATTTTTTGCTTTGACTGCCACGGAGAATTATAGTTGTTTTGCTAGCCATTTATGATATTTAGCCACATTTGTTATTTGATTTAATAGCTATAATATTCAAAAATCATGGGATATTAAAGCTTAAAAAATAAATTGTAGGTATTTTTTTATTCTTGACTGCCACAAAAAATTATATTTGTTTGACCGTAAATTTCAGATTCGTTGGAACATTTAATATTGAATTTTAACAGTTATAAAATGTGCAAAAATCATGGGATAGTATGGACTGGAACTTTATCTTATAGGTTATCTTTTTTTTCATTGTTTTTCCCGCCTCAGTTTAATATTTGAAACTGTTTAATTAGATATTAAAAAATAATTCAATTCATGCTATATTATATGCTTATTTGTAATTTCGTTTTATTTTTTTCAGGAATAATTCACACTTTAAGGAAAAAGATCTTATGAAATACTTTATTATTTGTATTTTTTTTAATGTGTATATGTGGTGTATTTTCCGTTATTTATTCACTTTTTTATTCTTCATTAACATTATTAATTTATGATGAAAACTAAAAAAAATGATTAAATAAAACAGTTTTTAGAGTAACTAATTTAAAATTATAGTAGTAAATATGTTAACAAAATGGAGGTTTTGAATAAAAAAATTATTGATAATTGTGGCCACTGTTTAAATTGTTAAAAGATCATTGATATTTTAAACCAACTTGTAACGTCTAGAACACTGAAAGAGTCAATGAGATTAGTTGTTAATTTTAACACAGTCAACATTAATCCAAAGTTGATGTGTTTTTAAAAAATAAAAAATGATTGAACAGTAACGTATTTAAGTGGAAGATGTCAGCTAGGTATAATTTAATATGTTTACTTAAATTTTCAGCCTAATATATAGATATATAGATATTTGTTGAACCACCAAAAGTTCATCAATGGTCTTGAAGTTAGTCTGGTAAATTATCTTAATACTCAAGGTAAAACTAACAAAGTTATTACTTTTACCGGCCAAAAAGAAACTTGAGATCATTAACCCGACTTCCAATTTGTAATATCTAGAGAGCAGAACATGTAAAACTCAAGAAGGTAAAAGATGGAGTCAGAATGAAGAACAAATGTGTGCCTTTCCTACTGGGGAAAAAGATGCAGGAAGTAATAAACAATAAGCAAGCATGACCTCCACATAACCAGAACCGATATTGTTTACATACCATTTATACTGACCATATTAATGTATGTTCACGCCAAGTACATTTCTACAAACCATTTATACTGATCATCAGAAATCTCAAAAACTGATTTGCCAGTACCAAGAGCCAAAACCATCACACACAACTCTTTCCAAGCTAAAAGAGAAGTTGATAATAAAATATTAAAATGTACTACTCCGTTTGTGGCGGGGGACAGTAAGACATTACTAAATAAACGGCACTATATACATGTTCACTGCACGAAACATCGCCGTCTCCGCCATACAAGCTCGATTTCCCACGTCCAATTTCCCCAGCACAGTAACTTCCTCCGAAAGCAACCCCTGGGAAGTTGCTTATGAAAGGGGTGCTATCGACACCAGCGCGTCTGAAAAAGGACTCCCCTCGACCGCAGCAAGAGAAGATAATGCCACCAAAGACTCGTCTCTTTTCACAATCCATCTTTAGCTCACGGAGCTCATCACCAACTTTATTGCAAGATGAAAGACCAACTTTTGAGTCCGAAATGTAGAAACGGAAGGGGTCGGTGGTTGTTATGCCAACAGAATTGGCAAACAGGTACTCTTCGTCACCTCTGGAGAAATAAATGTAATGGTTATGATCATAAGTAATTGTGTATATATATGCATGGAGTAGATCCCAATAATAAAATGACAACGTATGATTAACCACGACCATCCATTCAGCTAGATCTAATTGATATCAAGTCGTTAGAGAAATGATACATCTCCTTTCTTCTAGATATGCATCATGGAATGTGTAAATTTGCATTGATCAATTTCTACAGTTGAAATACACAATTTCTTGATAAATTACACCATATTATTCCTCACAGTCTAACAAATATAACTCATCATTTTGGCAATGTAACATGTTGTACTTAAGATTTCAAATAAATATGTTTTATGAAAACCTAAACTGTAAATCGAAAAATTATTCTGCAAATTTAGACATTTGCTTATGAACACCTAGAAGTACATCAATGAAAGACAATAGCATTACATTACATTTCCAAGGTTGGTTTCTTCATTTAAAACATGTTTATTAGTCCGCCACCGACAATAATTTTAATCCACATTCAAAAGTTCGTTGGTGCACCATTATATGCCTTATATAATGAAGAATATACCATTTCTCACATTAATTAGTTAATCCACCATATCTAAAGTTAATTCTAACAACTAGGATTTAGCCTTAAGTTCATATTTTAAGGATTAAAGTCAAGAAAGACACTTTAAGTAGAGAGTAAATTTATAACACAAGACATGGAAATTACCCTAGAACCTCATGGAATTCAAGGAATTGCATCCGTCTTACTCTTTCCTTGCCAACTGAGCATCTTCTTCTTTTTGTTACTCCAATGTAGAAAGCAGGATACTGAATACGATCTCCAAGCTGCCACAGTTATTCCGAATTTCGATAAGAATTAAAGATATCAGGGAAGTCTCAATTTGCTTTTACGTTATATCTTTCGGGAAAAATTCATCCAGCCCATGGAAACTTGATCCGGAATATCTTTTAGCATACATCAACTTCTAAGTGTCAAAACCAAGCCAACTCAACAAAAAACGTGGGAGAACACAAAAATCTTGACTGTAAATTTCATTGTACCTACAATTGTGGTGACTAGAAAAAAGAGCATTGATTTTACTTCCTTCACAATCTACAGTGACAGCTGACTAATAAATTCAATTCGTTTCTTTGGACTGGTCATGGATTAACCAGTGAATGTGAATGTGCTAGAAAGTGAAAAAAGGGCTCAACTTGTACTGCAACTTTACCAATAAAGCCAGAAATCTACTGGTTCACAACACAAACTGGTTGAACATAACTTTCTCTGTGAATAACTGTGAACCAAAAACATAATCCTGACAGTTGCCTTCTTTTTACCAACAATAAAGTAAGGTACAAATCTGGGATACCTCGTCATAGATTTCATCTAAAATAGCTTCGCCATCAAGAGGGTTACGAACTGTTTCTCTAGATGCTGTGAGCCAAGTTGAACTTTTATTACATTTAACACAAACTGCCTTGTAAGTGTTACCAACTGGTGATATGCCAGTTGATAACATGGTATGAAATTGAGTTTCCCCAACACCTGCATATTAATATAGACATCTAAATCCATGAAAGAGATAAAGAAACATGAAGGCATGAAGTCCCACAGGGAATGCAGCAATGTATTTATTCGTGTATACTTTGCTCACACAGAAAAAATTAAGGATGACCTAACCTAAAGGCTTGTTCCTATCCCGTGCAAATACTAGGGAAACTGCCGCAGAAGTTGAATCAGGCAAACTAGTGTTATTGCTTCTTCTATGACATCTATATAAGAATGGACTGCCTCCATCACCCACAACGAAGGTGTCCTCAGGGAAGGCATAGTCTTAAAAATTACACAAAAATAAACAAATGTTAGAAATGCATCTCAATATATATATGAAAACACAAAATTAAAGTTTCTGATGTAATTTAGACTTCATACACCTTTATTGCCTCCGTGTGATATTAAAACACAAAAGTCAAGTTTCTGTCGTTTACTTAGATTTAGACTGTGTACACTTTCATTACCCTTTACTGCCATCTTAGTCCTCGGCAAGAATAAAAATAAAATGAAAAAACAAAACACACATGTAGCTGTATCCCCAAAATAAGTAAAATGGAAAAGGAAAAAGAAAACATCAATTAATTGCAAGCAATGTCCAGGAAAAACTTACCAATCTTTTGAAGAATGGGTTTGACATTTGCTTTCCGACCCTAGTACATCATTTAGCTTAATGTCAGAAGCAAACTGAAGAGTGATCCCTATTACATACAGTATATGCAAGAGCGACTAAAACCATTGTTTATTATTAAAAAAAAAAAAAAAAAGGAAATACAATTACTAGCTTTCAGAGTACATATCTCAAATTGCCTCAACTTTAATTGAGCTTAATTTTACTTTGCTGTATCTTATTTTACGATAAAAATCTGAGAGATAGTAATGAAAAAATACTAATAACATCTTTTAATATATTAACAAGAGAGCAATTAAAATTAGGAAGAAACTTTAAGAGACGGGAGAAGGAGATATTCGGAAAACATAAATTAAGTCCAACGATGAAGGAACCATATCCAAGTAAGAACATTAAACAGAAGGAACTGTGCAGATTAGAAAGAACCCAATGACAAAGCCTATTACAAGAATGTTTAACTCACAGCAAACAGTATGACTCCGGCAGGAGCTGCTGAATCTGAAACTGCAGATGCAACTTCTCGGATACTCATTACAAAATCATCAATGAGAAGATCTTGAGGTTCCTGTTACTTGTGTGCACCTCAAATTAAATAAATATTACCTCATGTCACAACTGAATAGTTCAAAAAATATATCCAAAAAGAAGGAAACTACACTTTCAACTATCATGTGATCATTGGTACTTTGGTAGATACCACGCTGTTATGTTGCAATCTCAGACAGAAAAACCTTATAAAAACTAACGATAGGCCATTGTAGCTTTTTACCGATTTTGTACCGTATAAACATTAGATAATGAGATGAAATTGATAAGGTATACTTTAATAAGTCTATTTTGCATTAGAGAGCTACGTAAATCACATTTACCTTCTTTTTGTACAGCAAAGGGACTATAAGGGCTTTTAACCCAGGTAAAAATCCAACCGTTAGTATAATTCCCCTGTTAGTCTCTTCTGGTGGTTGCCCTTCCTGCTCCTCCGTTACTTCCCATAGTACCTAGACCAATATGTCAGACACATAATCTTAGAAATTATATTGAAGTGCTTAATTCAATAACATAATAAAATTATAAGTGCTAGAGCAAAGAAGAGGAAATTGAAGCAGAAAGAAAAAACTATATTGAGTAGAACCTTCTCTGTAAAGGTTTTTGACTATATTGAGGAGAAATTTTCAGTGGGCAATAAGGAAAAGGAAATTACCTCAACAAACTGCTCTGTGTGTGCGTCCTTGCCTATGATTCCCTCTGACACATTGACAATTAAAGGAATCCTGGAACCAAGTTTTGCGTCAATCTGCAAAAATTTCGCTTTCTTTAACTATCATGTGAAAACATACATATACCTTTAAACTAATACTCATATACCAGTTCCAGGGCTGATTGTAAGCTAAAAAGGGGGCCAATTGAAGCTAGTGCAAAATGAGGGCGAATGGGTTCTGATAAAACCTTGTCCATAACCTCATCCACAGCATTCTACAACCAAATGATAAAGGTGAGATGGAATAAAAACTAAATATATACTCATAAATGAAATAACAGAAAAATAAGTTTTGTTCCTTACACTTAATTGCACACAGAGTCATAATGCAATTTCTGCTCTTAAATCGTCAACAAAACAGAGAATATGATGATAAAGAAATCCAAGATACACCAACTAAGTATCAAAGTTCAGACCCTTTGGAACAGGGCACTTGTGTATGGCATAATCTGTAGCAAAATTCGAAAGCTCTGAAAGAATTGTAAGATGATGATGCTAGCTTCGTAATTCTATGGAAAAAAATAATAATAAAAAAATAAAAAAACCTATCATCAAAAATGGATGGAAGTCTATAAACTTGAAAAAACAAAGTCTCAAAATCATAAATTGCTTCTAATTCATTAAGAATTAAGATAATAATGCAACGTCAATGCCTCTGTTAGGAAATTAAACCACAGCTCACAATTAGAAAATGCACACCACTCAATAGAACCCAAATACTTAACTAATGCTAGACGCCAGAAAGAATACCAAACACTCAATTAGAGTAGCTGGTAATGAATTTAAAACTTTTAGCGGAAAACGAAACAGAACCGCAGAAGAAAGGTGAAAAAACACCTCCAGAGAAGAGTTAAAAGAGACGGCGGAGGAGAGCTTCGGAGAAGAGAGGATGCGGTTGCAGAGGGCGTTCCAGGAGCGGCTAACACACGCCGCCCAGGCGAAGTATAACGCCGGCAGCCGGCTGAGGATGTTTCGCATAAGATCATCTCCTAAATCATCGATCTCGGTGATAAAACCCACTCTCACTTTAGCCATTTTTCTCACAGACCCAAGGGACTGGTCTTCCATAGCGTCTCCGGCTAACTCCGGAGTGAAGGGGCGTGGAATTGGGGGTTGCGGAAAATGCCTATCGAGTCCTCGTCAGATTTGGCTTTGCCATTAAAAATGAAAGGAATGTGCATTTGGATGTAATTACTAACTAGTGCATGCCCCGTGATACACGGGAAACAATATTATCATTGTGTTACGGGAAACAATATTACCATTGTGTTGTAAAATACTCGTGTATTACTACACGGGTGTTTGTTAATTTTTTTCTTAAAATCTAAAATTAATGGGAAAAAATAATTGCAAAATTAAATACCTTTTACATATATATATATATATATATATATATATAGGGGGATGATCCAATGAGTCAACATCTTAAAATGTGAACGTGAGACCAATTCTCAGCCTTTGGATCTGGCTTTTAAATCTACGGTCAGCATCAAAATCAACGATTTCAACTCCCACGCGCACCAAAACAGAAAAAATATCTCAAATTTCCTTCTCACTCACGATTCTCTGCGGTTTCCTTCTCAATCTCGATTTCCTTCTCAGTTCGAATTTCGATTTCATCATCTGATTAGGTTAAACCCTCGTTTTTATGGATCCGATAAACATACCCAACTGCATATCAAAATATGCAGAGGAAAAAGTCGATCAAAATCATCACATTCGTAAGGTTCATGAGATTTGTCTGCAAATGTCGGCAGAAGCAGCTTCAATGGAGATCGAAGCAGCTCCAGTTGCGACATTGATGGAAGAAGGTGTACCGATTTTATTTTTTTCCAAATCGATTCATTCAATTTTAAATAAATACGTGCTTCTGAATTCAACATTCATGCGAATCGAGTTATTTAATTAGATCGATCACATTATATTAGGACAACTGTTCGTGCTTATCTGCAATTCTGATTTGGAGGTAGAATCTCTGTTTTCTAATAAGCATATTACATATGTTGTGGTTTATGAATACATGTGCATGGAGAAATAACTAAATATGCAATATGTATTAATAATTATGCACGTAGAAATTGGGTGTTGCACTGTTATGCTTGCACATTAGATGAATATATAATAAAACAAACTATGCATGAAAGAATAAATAATTATGCATGATTATATCAATAAGTATGCACGTCATAATTGCTTATTCATTCATCCTGATGTTCTGCATTAGAAACATATATGCAATGTCGTATATCTAACTGAGCAACTTTGTTGAACTAAGTATGCAAAAGTGTCATGATAAGAATGCACGTTATAATTGCAGTTGTTTTATATTATAACTGTATATGCACCGTTTTAATTATAAAATAGAAACATTGTTTGTAACGCCCCATATTTTATTAATAAAGGAAATACTAGCTTTTAGTTTTAAGCTAGCCTTTGTTAATAAATAGTCATGTTCATGTTCAAGTTCAGATTGATCAGTCAGTCATATTCTATGTTCGACTATTAGTCGATATATTATCCGGTTTAATTATTTCAGTAACCGGATAAGTTTCCAGATTTAATTCCGAGTCGTTTATTAAATTAATGAGTTCGGAATTAATAAGTTAAGTTGACGAATTATTCGAAATATTAATTATTTTCAGTCGAGATTACCTGAAATTATTTTCGATGTCACGTTTACGTTCGGAATAGTTTTGGTAATTAAGTATCATGTTAGCTAATTAATTAAGCAAATAGATTATGCTTAATTAATTTTTAATCATGATTAAGGGTTCATTGCCGTGGGTAATTATCAATTTTGCTCCAAATATATATCAATTGCCGTAGCAATTTAGTTAAAATTCATGAAGAATTTTCCCATTTAAGTCCATTTTGCCGTAAGTAATGTTAGTGGGAAATTAAGAGAAGTTGGGTCTCCAATTTAGTGACATGAGGTGTCACATTTTCATGTGTTTAAGGATGACTAATCCTTCTATTAGATGAGTAGGCATGTTAAAGTTCCAAGTGGCATAATTTTAAGCAACCAACTAAATCCCCTCATCACCTCTTGTCCCTTCGGCACCTCCATATATATAGCATAGAGATGGTTAAATTTTTCTTTCATTTCCCTAAATATACTAAGTAATGAGAGCTAGAGTATAGAGAGAGTTGTGAGGATCCTTAAGGAGTACTGTACGCAAAGGCTTATCGCACCGCACGCACGCGAGAGTACCGCAAGCTTAGCGCACACACGCACGGTCCGACGAGCACCGAGTGTTCCGAGAGTTCAGCGTGCTCAAGTGGACAGTTGAAGAGGTAAATTTTATGGGACCTCGTAGTGTTCATGATTGTTATGAAACTCAGTTCATGTTGTAGCCTTATGTGGTGTTCGCCGTGCGTGTAGGCCATCTTAAGTATGATCATGTTTTATTAAAAATCTCTCGACCAACCCCGTTTATTTAATCAGTTATGCATGTATCATGTTCAGTCAGTTAATAATGTTCGAAGAAAAGTTAAATTCAGTCATCGTTTCGGCCGAAGGTCGTAGCCGTGCAAGTAGCACGCGCCACGGGCCGTTCATGCATATCACGTTTGTTAAGTAAACATTCTTTCGAACAACTATGTCTAATTATTCAGTAAATCATGTTTTAAGTTCAGTTGAGGTAGTG